TAAAAAAAAAAAAAAAAAAAAAAAAAAAAATACAGCCTGTCACAGAATGTGTTTTTTAAAGAGATAAATGTTTCTAATTTGAAATAGGAATTGGAAATAGTAACAGCATTTTAGCATTTTTCTTACAGTATTTGACTTCAGTCCACGAATCCTTTAAATAAAATAGCTGTAAGGCATTGATCTGAGGTTAGACTGATAGAAATTTGATCACCATTTTAAGTACTTCATGGGGCTTTTTTTTTTTTTTTTGAGACAGAGTCTTGCTCTGTCACCCAAGCTGGCTGGAGAGCAGTGGCATGATCTCGGCTCACTGCAACTTGCACCTCTCAAGTTCAAGTGATTCTCCTGCCTCAGCCTCCTAAGTAGCTGGGATTACAGGCACATGCCACCACACCTGGCTGATTTTTGTATTTTTGCTAGAGGCGAGGTTTCACCATGTTGGTCAGACCGGTCTTGAACTCCTGAGCTCGTGATCCACCCGCCTTGGTCTCCTAAAGTGCTGTCATTACAGATGTGAGCCACCACGCCTACCCTAGCTTTTTTTTTTTAATCTCAGATTTCTCACTTTAAGAGCTTGCTGAAGACATTAAGTGTTCTAAAAGAAGCAGTCAAATTTAGATTTACATTAAACTTAAATTTCCTTCTAATTTTGATCTACAGTGCCTCATACCTGTAATCCCAGCACTTTGGGAGCCCAAGGTGAGAGGATGGCTTGCACATAGGAGTGCCAGATGAGTCTGGGCAACATAGCAAGACCTTCCTTATCTCTACTTAAAATCAAATTTTAAAAATCAGTCAAGCTTGGTGGCATGTGCCTGTAGTCCCAGCTACTTAAAAGGCTAAAGTGGGAGGATTGCTTGAGCCAGGAGATTGAGGCTGCAGTGAGCCATGATCGTGCCACTGTACTCTAGCCTGGGCAACAGAGTGAGACCCTGTCTCAAGAAGAAAAAAAAAAGTATTTCATGGGTGTCTTCCCTTGGTGAGTTTTATTTTTATTGATTTCCTACAAGTACTAACATTTCTGTGACCACAAAATATATTTAAAACCTTTCTGGCCGGGCGCGGTGGCTCACGCCTGTAATCCCAGCACTTTGGGAGGCCAAGGCTGGCAGATCACGAGGCCAAGAGATCGAGACCATCCTGGTCAACATGGTGAAACCCCGTCTCTACTAAAAATTAGCCAGGCATGGTGGTGTGCACCTGTAGTCCCAGCTACTCAGAAGGCTGAAGCAGGAGAATCGCTTGAACCCAGGAGGTGGAGGTTGCAGTGAGCCAAGATCATGCCACTGCACTCCAGCCTGGCAACAGAAGCAAGACTCCATCTTAAAAAAAAAAAAAAGAAAACCCTTTCCAGAAACACCATTTAGGCTATTGATAGTGTCTTTTAATTGCTTGCCAGTTCACCTTTGCTGATGGGGAGTGGCATCCTGGGGACCTCTCTGAAGTTTGATGCTCTAGTGGCATATATCAACAGGCGGCTAACTTGGCCACACTCCTGAGCAGAGTGTCTCTGTAACTGCTAAGACCTTTGTGGTTAGTTTTGTGAATACGTTTTTAGACTCTGGTATTCTTACTTAATAGAATTCTATTTAAGCCAGCCAGGAGTGGTGGCTCACACCCGTAATTTAAGCACTTTGGATCCTTGAGGAGGATCACTCGAGGCCAGGAGCTCAAGACCAGCTTGGGCAACATAGGGAGGACCCTGTCTCCACAAAAAAATTAAAAATTAGCCAGCTTGAGCCCAAGAAGTTGAAGCTATAGTGAGTTGTGATTACGCCACTGCACTCCAGTCTGGGTGACAGAGCAAGACCTGGTCTCAAAAAAACAAAAAACACAGTTATGTGTAAACCTTCCTCAGACCACAGTGAACTAGAAATAGTAATAAAATTTCTTCCAGTCTAAATTCTGAAGTTTATATTGCCGACTCCCTGCATTTTATTTTTTTTTATTTTTTTTTTTTAAATAAAAATAAAATAATTTATTTAAAATAAAAAAAAACAAAAAGAACTTTTTTACTAAGATGGGGTTTCACCATGATGGCCAGGCTAATCTTGAACTCCTGACCTCAGGTGATCCACCCACCTTGGCCTCCCAAAGTGCTAGGATTACAGGCCTAAGCCAGCGCGCCTGGCCCTGTTTTGTTTTTTTGAGACAGAGTCTCATTCTGTTGCCCAGGCTAGAGTCCAGTGGCACAATCTTGCTTCACTGCAACCTCCGCCTCCTGAGTTCAAGCGATTCTCCTGCCTTAGCCTTCTGAGTAGCTGCAATTACATGGGTGCATCACCATGCCTGGCTAATTTTTGTGTTTTTAGTAGAGATGAGGTTTTACCATTTTTGTCAGACTGGTCTTAAATTCCTGACATCAAGTGATCCACCTGCCTTGGCCTCCCAAAGTGCTGGGATTATAGGCATGAGCCACCACACCTGGCCTATTTATTGATTTTTTTTTTTTTTTGGGAGACAAGGTCTTGCTCTGTTGCCCAGGGTGGAATGCAGTGGTGCCATCATAACTTACTGCACCCTTGAACTCCTGGGCTCAAGCAACCCTCCCACCTCAGCCTCCCAGATAGCTAGGACTACAAATGTGTACCCGCATGCCCAGCTAATTTTTTGTTGAGACAGTGTCTTGCTGTGTTGCTTAGGCTGGTCTCAAACTCCTGGTCTTAAGCAATCCTCACACCTCAGTCTCCCAAAGCATTGGGATTATAGGTGTGAGTCACCATGCCTGGGCCCCTTATTTCATAAATGAGGAAAGAGACTCAAATGTTCTGGGTATGACATAGATAATCTTTTTTCCATCTTTCATTATGTTGCCTTTGCCTGTTCTCCAGAATTACACAGTTATTTCTGGGAAATTAAAATGAACACTAAATCTGAGGCTTGTAACCATTACAGAATTCCTTCATGGCTTTGCTTTAGGTTCACATATTCACAGGCTCTCACTAGCCTAGGCAACCATGATGTAGGACCAAAAGGAAGAAAATAGATAAAGCCTATTATGTAATAATATGCTTGTCTGCTATTAAGAGAAAGTAAAAATCCAAAGAATACATAAAAGTAAGTGTTGAACATACTGTGGAGCATTGGTACAATTCTTGGTTCTGGCAGCCACCATCCCCTGCCAGAATCAGTTGATGTATGTGCCATGTATCTCCAAGGGAAAATATGTGAGTCCTTTCCTTTTACATGAGCTGTACAAGAAGTGAGCCTTGAAGTAAAGGAAAATGGTGGGCATGAGACTTACCATGGTAAAATGACACTTTGGATTTTGTTCTAACAAACTTCAGAAAGATACCCTGAAGTATCTTTTATAGCTCTGTACAGAAATACCATTTTATCAATTAAAAAAGCGTTTAATAGAATTTAACATATAATCGAGGTGTTTAAAAGAAACAGCTTTTGTGTCAATGGATACTCTTGATACCGTTATAGGACAGATTCAGAAATATATGAAGATGCGGTAGAACTTCAGCAGTTTTTTATTAAAATTCGTGATGAGCTCTGCAAAAATGGAGAGATCCTTCTTTCACCAGCACTCAGCTATACCACAAAACATTTGCATAATGATGTGGAGAAAGAGAAAAAGGAAAAATTGCCAAAAGAAATAGAGGAAGATAAACTAAAAAGAGAAGAAGAAAAAAGAGGTTGGTTTCTTTTCATTTTATTGAATATGAAGAAATATACTGTCTTCTAGCTGTTCTCGTAATTAGCTGTGGAAAAGAGTCCTGTATGTATGAATGAAACCTCAGGGTATTGACTATTTTTGAGTGGACACGATGAGATGGAAATGTTTTTGTAGTTGTCAGTTTGGTCATCAGATCTAGAAAAGATTGAAAGTTACCTGGGACACAGCCATTATCCTGATATTTCAGGATAAGAATCAGTTGATTCACAAGTGTGGGGACTTAATGCCGCTTTATATTATTGGTAGATCAAAACCTAAGGAGGCCAGCTGGAACTAGAAACCATTTTCAACAGTGAGTCCATCAAGTTTTTGCCATATCATACAGTAGCATTGCTTTCCTCATAGATACTCTGTGCCAAACAAGTAGATGACGTTTTGGTTGAATCATATACCTGGAGAAAAGTTTTATTTTAATTGTATCAAACTATAAAATGTTACTTTGGGTCAGTTGCCATAATTTAGAAATATTTTGATAACAGGACCTTATTACAAATTGGATTATTTCTGATGAAGTTCAAGTTCACATAGATTCCTAGAATATGTGACTTTTAAGTTATGTTAGTCTTTGACATCAGATCTCCTCCATAGATATTTTTCCCTTTGGCAAGAAAACAAAATAGATTAATAGATTAATTTGAAGCAAATTCTTTTAAGTGATGGCATACTCAAAAAAATAAGTGAAAGAAACATGGTTGGTGAGAATAGTAATTTTGCCAGCATAGAACTAACTGCAAAACCAACAGCTTTGCCACCAGAGGAGATACACTCATTCAGGAAGATAGTGAGTATATATGTGTGGGGTTTAGGAGAGGGAGGAATCTGACTTTGCCAGCTAAAAGTGGTTGATGCAGAAATGCATGGAGTAAAGCTGCAACTTTGATGGCCCAAGGTGATAATCCAAGTTAAAGAATATTCTCAAAATTAGACGTCTATAAAAGGACTGAGATAAGCTCTCCACACATTCCCAGCCAACTGGAAAACTATACATGCTGTGGGGAAAGATGCAAAAGAACCTGGTGAAAAGCAAAAATCCAAGGGGTACTTGAAAATTGGGTGCAGCTTTGAGTTCATCCCCCAACTATGCACAGACCTATCAGCAGATGGTACATGCTTATGAGCTTGACCTTCACCTAAGTCATTGGCTGGAGAGAGTAGCAACCCCTGGTGTCAGGTTGCTTAGTAGACCTATAATGGGAGCTCCAGAGGTGGGAAGAAAAAGGGGGAGAAAAAAGATTTGAAGACATAATAGCTGAAAACCTCTCAAATTTGATGAAAAACATTAATCTACAGCTCCACCTAAGAGAAACACAAAGAGAATCCTGTTTAGATACATCATAATCAAACTGTTGACAATCTTGAAAGCAGCAACTGATTCATCACCTACATTATCCGCACATCCCATCAAGGGGCCTGGGGATTGTCCAGCCCAACTGACAACCAGTGATAGCTGAGCACTTTTCCCAGAGTCTGGGGTCAGAGCCACTCAACCTGCCACTACCACCACAACTGGTACCCATCTTCATGTGCTACCTGTCCATCTGGGTACTAGCCGACCCATCATAGCCATTGCTAGCACCGTTGTACAACACTTGGGTCCCAGAGGGTTGTCTCAGCACTGCTACTGCCTTCACCCTTACCATGTCCACTGCCCAGGGGCTCAGGGACCCACCCTTGATCCACTGCTGCCATTCCTGGCACTCCAGCAAGCCAGCCAGAGTCTCAAGAATTGGCCTGCCTAGACCCACTTGACAGCCCAGTCCACAGCAATACTTTACCATAGCCTCCACTATCAACTGCACCCCAATCCAGGGGCCCCCAGACCCCCACAGCTCATTAGGAACTGGGCTCCACAGGAGGCAGTGAGTGGCAGGCAAGCGAACATTACCACCTGAGTTCTGCTTCCTGTCAGAGCAGCGGTGGCAATAGATTCACTATATTGTGAACTGTGTATGTGAGGGATCTAGGTTGTGTACTCCTTATGAGACTCTAATGCCTGATGATCTGAGGTGTAACAATCTTGTTCTGAAACCATCCCACCCAACCCTCATCCCCTACCCCCACAAACCCCACCACCATTCATGGAAAAATTGTCTTCATGAAACTTGCCCCCGGTGCCAAAAAGGTTGGGGGCTGCCCTAAGCCACTGAGGAAGTCATGGATACCACTGATTCTGTTTACAGTAGAAGGAATCAAACAGATTACACTACTGTACACACCCAGAATCAAAATCAAAGTACCCTGCACAACCAACACCATAGGTACATCTTCAGGGAAAAGTCCTCTTCTATGAAAGTAAATTCAAAACACTGGGAAGTGACTGTTATACCAGACACACATATATCAATGTAAGGACACAGAAATCAAGAAAAGCAAGAAAATATGGTAACTCCAAAGGAACCCAATAATTCTCTAGCAATAGATTCTAATCAAAAAGTAATTTATCGGCTACACACAGTGGCTTGCAACTGTAATCCCAGCACTTTGGGAGGCTGAGGCTAGGGGATCACAAAGTCAGGAATTGGAGACCAGCGTGGCCAACATGGTGAAACTCTGTCATTACTAAAAATACAAAAATTAGCCAGGCATGGTGGCATGCAATCCCCGCTACTTGGAAGGCTGAGCCAGGAGAATAGCTTGAACCTGGGAGGTGGAGGCGGCAGTGAGCCGAGATCTCACCATTTCGCGCCAGCCTGGGCCAGAGCAAGATTCCATCTCAAAAACAAAGTAATTTATCAAATTCCAGGAAAATAATTCAAAGTTTGATATAAAAGAAGCTCAGTGAAATACAAGACAATTCTCAGAAACAATACAAAGAAATCAGAAAAACAATTTAGAATATGAATGAGAATTTTATCAAATAAATATTATGAAAAAGAACTAAAAAATTCTGCAACTCGACCAGGCGTGGTGGCTCACCCAGCTACTCAGAAGGCTGAGGCAGGAGAATTGCTTGAACCCAGGAGGCAGAGGTTGCAATGAGCCAAGATTGTGCCATTGCACTCTAGCCTGGGCAACAAGAGCAAAACTCCATCTCAAAAAAAAAAAAAAAAAATCTGTAACTTAAGAATTTATTGAATAAAATGCAAAAGATATTTGAAAGCTTTAAGAACAGACTGTAACAAGCAGAAAAAATAATTTCAGGAGCTGAGCACCTGTGGCTCACACTTATAATCCAAACACTTTGGGAGGCCGAGGCAGGTGGATCACAAGGTCAGGAGATTGAGACCATCCTGGCCAACATGGTGAGACCCTGTCTCTACTAAAATACAAAAAATTAGCCTGGTATGGTGGCACACGCCTGTAGTCCCAGCTACTTGGGAGGCTGAGATAGGGGAATCACTTGAACCCAGGAGGTGGAGGTTGTAATGAGCTGAGATTGCACCACTGCACTCCAGCCTGGTAACAGAGCAAGACTCTGTCTCAAAAAATACACACACACAGACACACACACACAGGCCATAAAGCAAGACTCTGTCTCAAAAAATACACACACACACACACACACACACACACACACACACCCATACATACATACATACATAAAGGCCATATATGACAGATCCAGAGCTAACATCATGCATAATGAGGGAGAGCTGAAAGCCTTTCTTCTAAGAACTGGAACAGGATAAATATCCCCACTTTCACCACTCCTATTCAACATAGTACTTTAAGAGAATCAGGCAAGAGAATGAAATAAATTGGAGAAGTCAAATTGTCCCTCTTTGCTAATGATGTGATCTTATATCTAGAAATACCTCGAGACTTCATCAAAAAAACTCTTAAGTCTGAGAAGTAAATTCAGTGACTTGCAGGATACAAAATCAGCATATAGAAATCAGTAGTGTTTCTATACACTAGTAATGAGCTAGCTGAGAAAGAAATCAAGAAGGCCACTTTGGGAGGCTGAGACAGGTGGATCGCTTGACATCAGGAGTTTGAGAACAGCCTGGCTAACATGGTGGAACCTTGTCTCTATCAAAAATACAAAAATTAGCTAGGTGTGGTGGTGTGCACTTATAATCCCAGCTACTTGGGAGGCTGAGGCAGAAGGATCCCTTGAACATGGGAGGCAGAGATTGCAGTGAGCCAAAATTATGCCATTGCACTCCAGCATGGGCAACAACAGCAAAATTTGTCTTAAAAACAAAAAAAAAAGAAAAGAAATCAAGAAGGTAATCCTATTTATTTCTCCCATCAAAAAAAAAAAAAAAAAAATCTACAAAGAAATTTAAGGAGGTAAAAGATCTCTACAAGGAAAACTATAAAACACTGATGTAAGAAACTGAAGAGGACGCAAACAAATGCAGACATCCCAGATGCTCATGGATCTGAAGAATTAGTATTCAAATGAACATATTACTCAAAGCAATCTACAGAGCTCAGTCTCCAATTTCTATCAAAATACCAATGTCATTTTCACAGAAATACAAAAAAACAGTCAGGCTGGGCATGGTGATTCACACCTGTAATCTCAGCACTTAGAAAGACCAAGGCATGCTGGGCGTGGTGACTCACGCCTGTAATCCTAGCACTTTGGAAGGCCGAGGTGGGTGGATCACCTGAGGTCAGGAGTTCAAGACCAGCCTGGCCATCATGGTGAAACCCCATCTTAAAAAAAATAAATAAAATAAAATAAAAAGACCAAGGCAGGTGGATCACTTGAGGTCTGGAGTTCGAGACCAGCTTGGCCAACATGGTGAAAACCCGTCTCTACTAAAAATGGACAAATTAGGCTGGTCGTATTATCTCATGTCTGTAACCCTAGCACTTTGGGAGGCCGAGGCGGGCAGATCACCTGAGGTCAGGAGTTCGAGACCAGCCTGACCAACATGGAGAAACCCTCTACTAAAAATACAAAATTAGCCCAGTGTGGTGGTGCATGCCTGTAATCCCAGCTACTCAGGAGCTGAGGCAGGAGAATCACTTCAACCTGGGAGGCAGAGGTTGTGGTGAGCTGAG